CGCGGATGATTTATTTGGCATTTGTTACAGGAAGAATGGGGATTAGGATGCAGATGAGCAAAATACGAGATATCAACTGGAGGGAGACTCCTCGCCGGCTTCGCGCACATGATTCGTGTTTCCAATTGGTTCCCGCCTCTCTCCTGTAAAAGTCCACTTAAACAAACCATTATATATTACAGGCAGCACCTATTCGCAAGCTTTATTTGTGTTTAAGTCAGCAGGCCGAACATAACCCCAGATTCAGTTGAAGCTGCCAAGGAGACCAGGTACAGTTCCTCAGTTTCATGCTATCTGTCGACTGACGTGGTGGGCTCGTGAGTGCTTTCTTGTAGTACCGAATATATTGTGATAACTGGCGAGGGAGGTGTAACAAGGGAAGCGCCGATGACGTCGCTCAAAGGAAGAAAAGAGCAGTTTAGTGCCTTGCTAATGTGATTACCTGAGGTTTGGCGGTCATTTTAGAATTTGTCTGCCCCTGTACACGTGGACTCGCCTTCGGACCATGCTTAGGCCCCATTTTCCCTGTCGTCTTCTTAATACCTATATTATGCCTCACTTATAACTTCGTCCACCCCATGGGAAGCCTCGGGACGCTACAAATTATATTACCTTTTGTCTTTAAACGATTTTCCGAATGCCAATGCGTTCATATCTATTAAACTAACTTGATGAATAAGGGACCCTTTGGCGACAATCAAATTTTACTGTGAATATATATATTCAGTCCATTGTTACGCGTAATTTGTCATTAATCGGACTATTATTGCACCTTCTAAGTCCAATCGTAGTACAAGGCAAGCACATATTTGGTAATCGTTTCCGATTTGTGCAAGTAATTTTAATAGTTCAAATTTACTACTGTATAGCCCATTTTCGAAAAAAAAATATAGTAAAAATTAGAGAATTGTAAATACAAAATTATATGTATTCTTATTTAGCTTTTCTGATTGAAATGGCGTATCTGTTTATACGTACTGACAACTCGAACCGTGAAGGTGACTTGTGTGACCGTTGGGCTAGGTGCCAATGACGATAAGGGTTTTTGTTTCTTCTGCATCTGGCAACCTTTTGGTATGGCGCTTTTGGTCCAGAACTATCATTTAGGTTAAGAAAAACCAGTCGGTTTTATCAAACATCCTAACCTCAAGAAGAATCGACTTTGAGCAGATTGATCTTACAGATCCAAGAAATGCGGACAAAAAGCAAGCCTTAATTGATGAACTTAAGGAAAGGTCGCTCTCGTTTGTGCCACCAATAATTTATTTTGAGGACGAATACCTTGGGGTACTTAATAAATGTTTTCTTATTGCTAGAATTATGATGATTTCTTTGAGTCTTTGGAGATGGAACGTGTTGATTCCTTCCTTCGCGTTCCGGGAGCGAAATCAGTAAGGGGAATTTGTTTATAAATTGTTTAGGGAACATTCGATGATATCGTTTCTCAAACGGAGGTATAGAGGACTCAAAATGCATGTCTGTGGATGCATGTAGCATGGCTTCATTTGCATGCTCATGTTGATTTTATATTTTTGCAAAATCTGTTTCACGTCTTCAGACAGGCTTAACAGAGGCGGCTTCTGAAGGGGTAATCCGCCTTATCTGTCATAACTTTTATGCAGGTCGACACAACCAAGAAGAAAAAGAAGCGGAAAGAAAAGGAGAAAGTGGAAGGTGGTGGAGCGTCCGGAAATTCATCTGAAGAATCAGAAAATGAAGAGGATGAGGAGGAAACAGAGTCTGAAAATGATGAGGAAGCTTCTGTTGATGAAAAATCAAAGGAAGGAAAGGTAGAAGAGGATATCATTGAAGCTAAACATGAAAATAAGGCTGAATCAGCCCCGAAGGAGAAGGCGGATGCTGAATCTGATGGAAAGAAGTCCGGAAAAGAAGTATCTACCAAGTCTGTAGTGGCGGCTGATGGCACATCTGCCAAGCCCAAGGATGAATCACCGATGGAGACTTCGTCAGAGGAGTCATCTGATGAGGAAGAAGAAACCAAAGAAAAAGAGGTGAAGAAGACCA